AAAAAACACCTAGAACTTTGTCAGATTGAAAATTCCTCTGGCTGGAATTTTCGCTCTTTTTCTACTTCAAGAAATGAAGCACTTAGGCTTAATAATGAAATTTTAAAATGGAGAAAAGCAATTCATTCCGTCTGGCCTGTATTTAGTGAAGTGTTTATTTCCACTGGGAAATTATCTCTTCATGTTTCTGTCATTTCAAATTCTGAGAGAAAATCTGATGATAATATAAATATTATATATATATATATTACTAGCTAGGTCTAAAAGGTCCATCATTTATTAATGTGTAATTTTTTATAGCTTTAGAGGTTTGAGTTGTTATAATGCAAAGAGATTCAAAATGTTTTCTAGCCTTTGAATACATACCAATAATAGATATAATTCAGACAGCTTTTTTCATATTCATTCATATGGCATCAAATATTGGCAATTCATGATGCATTTAGATCAGACAAAAAACATTAGAATGCACAAGGCATTGATATCTATATATCTAGTGATTCTATATAATATTTGATAACACTGTCTGTATGAACATGTGAAATTTTGAGTTAATAAATGTTAGAAATAGTATATCTATATATCTAGTGATTCTATATAATATTTGATAACACTGTCTGTATGAGTATGTGAAACATTGAGTTAATAAATGTTAGAAATAGTATATCTATATATCTAGTGATTCTATATAATATTTGATAACACTGTCTGTATGAGCATGTGAAACATTGAGTTAATAAATGTTAGAAATAGTATATCTATATATCTAGTGATTCTATAATATTTGATAACACTGTCTGTATGAGTATGTGAAATGTTGAGTTAATAAATGTTAGAAATAGTATATCTATATATCTAGTGATTCTATATAATATTTAATATCACTGTCTGTATGAACATGTGAATCATTGAGTTAATAAATGTTAGAAATAGTATATCTATATATCTAGTGATTCTATAATATTTGATAACACTGTCTGTATGAGTATGTGAAATTTTGAGTTAATAAATGTTAGAAATAGTATATCTATATATCTAGTGATTCTATATAATATTTAACATTGAGTTAATAAATGTTAGAAATAGTATATCTATATATCTAGTGATTCTACATAATATTTGATAACACTGTCTGTATGAACATGTGAAACGTTGAGTTAATAAATGTTAGAAATAGTATATCTATATATCTAGTGATTCTATATAATATTTGATAACACTGTCTGTATGAACATGTGAAACGTTGAGTTAATAAATGTTAGAAATAGTATATCTATATATCTAGTGATTCTATATAATATTTAATAACACTGTCTGTATGAACATGTGAAACGTTGAGTTAATAAATACAGAAATAGTATATCTATATATCTTGAGCTTCTTTACCTAACCCTATTTCTATAGGTCTTACAAACAGAATAAAAAGAATGCTAGGCTGTTTGTTTGAAAGTTGCCGGCAGTAAACAGCTTACTAAAGTCAAATTTTATGTTGTATCCCAAGCCATTCTATTTCTCTAATCTCTATAAAACTGTTTTTTTCTACTAAAAAAGACTGTTAAGAATGTTTTAAATGGACAAAAATTGATTTCCTAAAAGGCAGAAAACAAATCATTGGAAAGTAATCTTCTGATTCCCAGACAACCTGTAAGCCACAACATCCAAAAGCTTTTTAGTTTTACGCAATCAGTGTTAAAATCTGCTGCTCTGATAGGTACAGTCTGATTGAATTTATCATGGTGCATCTAAATCTTCATGGTTCAGAAACAATCCAGTTCATTTCTAAAAGTTTTTTTTACTGTTACAGAGCAACAATAATGAGAAAAACTTTCTGTATTCTGTGAGGGTTAGTTTCCAATATTAGCAGAACCATCACTAAGAAATATTATTCAAATTTGCTTCAAATGAAGAGAAATTCCTCAAGGCCTCATTCTTGGAAAACTCCATCTCAGTCTCTGTCCTATATTATAACTTTGTCCAATAACCTTCTCTAAATGCTTGTTAACTATCATTCCATTACTCTAATACATTGTATTGCAATGTTTTTGATGCATCATTCTTTTAATATTCTCTATCCTAGTTCTATCTCACTTCTAATAACCTTCTCTAAATGCTTGTTTAACACTATTAGAAACTCTAATACTGTAAAGTTTTTGGTAAATTGTGTCTATCCAACTTTATACTGATTTATAGTTACAACCTTCCCTTAATGCTTGTTAAACACTATTACAAAACTCTGATATAATATTGTAAAGTTTTTGATAAATTTGCGTGTTTGTATAATTAGAATGTAACATCTCTATCCTAGTTTATTCTGACTTCATGATATTGATTTTATACAAACAAAGATCTATTTCTTATGAAGACTTTTGAAGACAGACGCCTTCAAGGCAAACTGAGAAAAAAAATCTAATTTCAGTAATTTCATCACCGTGTTTTCCACATGGCCACTAAGGAGATTGAAGAGCTGAGTCAATCACGACAAGGGGAGACTACTGGGACAGGTTCTTGACAAATTGTTTTTCCTATTAGACGTATATTATATTAATATGTATCTTTCTGGATAAATAGATCTATCATCTGTAAACAATCTTTATTGTCTACCAGTTTGGGTTCACTTCAACATTTTTTTTTGGCCCATTTTTATAGAAAAGTATGACATCAACTAACTCTTGGTTAAATTTATGAGGGTTGCCCACACCATCCCCTAACATTTTTGTTGTTGATAGCATTATTACCATATTATCACCACCAGAATCTCAATTTAAATAATATCTCCTTTGTGACATCATCATCTGCTTGCTGCTACTGAGATATTTCCCTACATTTATTTCCATAAAAAAAGGTTTTTAAAAGGGGATGGCCAATCTTTCGCCCTTAACATAGCATCCTACATTAAATAAAGCATATTTTGTTGATTTATGGTAGAGAAATTGAAAACGGTGGGTCCAGTGAAAATTTCGTTAGGAAAAAAACAAAAAATTGGTAGAATTGGGCATCATATCAGGGATGGATTTAATGTAATCTGATATCTATTTGGAGGTTTATCTAAAGTTGATGGTGTGTAGCATTTTTTAATGTAATCTGATATCTATTTGGAGGTTTATCTAAAGTTGATGGTGTAGCATCCTTTAATGTAATCTGATATCTATTTGGAGGTTTATCTAAAGTTGATGGTGTGTAGCATCCTTTAATGTTATCTGATATCTATTTGGAGGTTTATCTAAAGTTGATGGTGTGTAGCATCCTTTAATGTAATCTGATATCTATTTGGAGGTTTATCTAAAGTTGATGGTGTGTAGCATCCTTTAATGTTATCTGATATCTATTTGGAGGTTTATCTAAAGTTGATGGTGTGTAGCATCCTTTAATGTAATCTGATATCTATTTGGAGGTTTATCTAAAGTTGATGGTGTGTAGCATCCTTTAATGTTATCTGATATCTATTTGGAGGTTTATCTAAAGTTGATGGTGTGTAGCACCCTTTAATGTTATCTGATATCTATTTGGAGGTTTATCTAAAGTTGATGGTGTGTAGCACCCTTTAATGTTATCTGATATCTATTTGGAGGTTTTTCTAAAGTTGATGGTGTGTAGCATCCTTTAATGTTATCTGATATCTATTTGGAGGTTTATCTAAAGTTGATGGTGTAGCATCCTTTAATGTAATCTGATATCTATTTGGAGGTTTATCTAAAGTTGATGGTGTAGCATCCTTTAATGTAATCTGATATCTATTTGGAGGTTTATCTAAAGTTGATGGTGTGTAGCATCCTTTAATGTAATCTGATATCTATTTGGAGGTTTATCTAAAGTTGATGGTGTGTAGCATCCTTTAATGTTATCTGATATCTATTTGGAGGTTTATCTAAAGATAACGGCATATACAAACCAATTTTCTCTGTTAATATGCTGGAACCTGGCTATATATTTGTTCTCTATCAATAAGGTCTGTTTATCTATTTAAGGAAACAAGATGGAAATTGATTCACACTATTCTCCAGAAAATAATTATTGATTTTTTAATGGTTTAATAACATAATTATTATATTCATATTACTTAGATTTACATAGACAGGTTGATAGGGTTAGGAGGAAGGGGATATTAGCATAGGAGGGTAACATCCCCACCCTATTTGCAAATACATCTGCAAGGGTTTAAGGGAGGGATTGAAGTTGAAATATACCCCTAACCCTCCCTCCCTGAGGGTAAAATCTTAACCTATGTTTGGAATCTATCTAACAACAGACCTCTATAAAAGGAAACAAACATCTAACTTGCTGAACCATCACAGCTTCAAGACTTTAAAAAGAGATGGATGAAGGAAGTTTCTGAAGGAATGGAGTATTTATTTATTCAAAAAACCCATTGAGATATAAAACCATGGCTTTTCTGTCGTGATTACACAAGAATAAGGCGAAGCATTGAAATAACTTAATATGAAAATAGCATTAAATCTTCTGACAACCAATTTTAGAACATTTTAAATAGAGTTTAAAATTATAATAGTTATGTTATGAGCTTTGTTATATTATATTTTTCACCAGAAACTGCTAGAATGAGATATTTATTGCTCTCAGAGGGGTGATATTTACATACACTCCATTAATAACAATATTATCATTTTAATAACCTTCATATTGTTACAGAAATCTGCTTGTTTGAGTAGCAAACTTTCTGTTTTATGTTGAATTAATCTCATTCTGTAAAACTTGACTAAAATTCAACTAAGATAAAAACCAAATTTGAAGAAATACAAGAATTTAGCTGGTAAATAAAACTAGTTACAAAATTGAAGGAATAAACAGAGATTTTCCTGCAGGCCTACATTGAGATGGTTTTATATTTCGATTAAAAAAAGGATTGAAAAGAACAATGCCAAATATAAACAAATATTTTGTTATTAAGCAAAACATAGACCTAAAACGTCCAATAAAAGGTAAAAAATATCTAAGCCATGCTTACCCTGTTGTTATAACACCTTTATGATCTAAATAAACACTTTTTTCTTTTGTTATTCTGGAATCGTTGTTTTCTGCTAAATCCAAGATGTGAATACCATTCATAACCAGACCTGGAATTAGAAAATAAAATAGTTCTGCTATTTTTAGGTTGGGGATGCTGATGATTTCACATGTTGATCTGTAGAATCATATAATTATACCTTCCCCATGGAAATATGTAGCTGTGCTTTTGTAAAATTACTTATCCACAATGTTAATGAGGAAATTCTTAGTATCTTTTAGGTACCAGGAAAAAACCTGATATATTATGCTTCATAAATGAGTCGAGGTACAAAGCAATTTCAAGAATAAAATCACTGCGAAGAAAAAACACAGCTCCATTGAATTTTTGTTTTGTTTTTACAAATACTGATAATTCAAATGGAATAGTTCTTATTTCCTTTAAGATCTCACTCTATTTAACTTTATTCTCATTTTATCAAAAAAAATATTAATTCAGGAATTTCCTTTGCTTTGATCAGAATAAAAATCAGAATCAGACGTATTTGATTTCCATATCTATAACTTATTATATCTTATAAATAATTCATAATAAAGAATGGTGTCAGTCAGTCGCTAGTGGAACTCCTCTCCCAGGATTTAACGATATCGTGATTAAAAATGACCATCCACTGTTCATAGATAAATTACAGAAAAATTGATTAGTGCATAGGCCGAGTAAGAAATCGATGTATAAAATTAAAAATGTACAAATCTTGCTTTTAGACCTTGGCCAGTGCTTTTGTGAAAACAATTTTCTCCTCTCTTCATGCTTCAACACTGCAGTCTTCAGATTTGACTTTGATATTGAAATCGAATCATCCTTATTTGACACATTTTAACATAATCAATGGGCATTTCATCTTAATTTATATGCTTAGATATCTACTTGTGAAAAATTAGGGATAGACCCTGTCTTTTAGGATTCCCTTTCCAAACAATCTCTGATTTAATTTGATTTCTAGCAAATAAGCCAGTCATGGTATAACCTCCCTTAATTCTAAAAATTAAATTTACTCTCTGTTCTTAAGGAATTCTCTTTCTGATGATTGTGCTATTTACACAGATGCAGAGTGTGCAAACTATATCTTTAAAAATCTCATTATTTTAATAAACACAACCCCAAAATCTTAGAAAATCTATTGTGTGTACTAAAGGAATTTTCCTTCAAAGAATCGTGCAACTTGAATTAGGTACTTAAAGTATGCAAATAATATTTTCAATAGCTTCATCTTTTCAACAAAAGACGACCCCAAAATCTTAAAAATCAAAAATCTTCACTACCTACCAGAAATAGTTCCTTCAAATGGCCGTGCTATCATTCCATCTTCAGTTTTCTTGCCTCCAACATAGACATAAGCTTGATTGTTAAATACTCCAAGTTGTTGGCCTACAACCAAACAAAATCAATACAGATACTGAACAACTTGTCGTTAATACTCGTCACAAATCAATCCCACAATCCAAACCTCCCTTTTTCCTTAAAAAAACCTGTTTGTAACAATTTACGGGGATAAAAAAATTAATAACCTACGTTTCCTGCTAATTATCAGATCAATAATCAATACGTCAACTTGATTAGTTTGATTGCTTAATTTATTTCACCTAGTTTCCACAAACTGAATGCCTGGAACTATAAAGCCAGTTCAACATTATAAATTATTAATATCAAGTCAGATTTAGATTAAACAGCTAATATTACATATTTGCTCGGATTTAAGATATTAAATGCTTTGAAATTTAGACTTTGGACTTATTTCATCTAGTTTCTATGAACTGAAAGCTGGAACTATAAAGCCAGTTCAACTCATAAATCATTAATATCAAGCTAGATCTATATTAAACGGTTGATATTACTTATTTTGCTCGGATTTAAGATTTTAAACGCTATGAAATTTAGACTTTGGACTTTTTTTCACCTAGGTTTCCCTGAATTTTCAAAACAGATAGACCACATTTAATCTTGATAATTCAATATCAGCCTAATGGTCATTTTAAAGACTGTAATTACTATAGAAAGTAAAATTAAGGATTATTTCTGGTTATCATGGTAATGTAATGAAATGTCTGTTTGGCTAGGAAACATAATAAATCAAGTTCAATATTAATGATTTATAACAAGTCAGATGTTAGAGTCTCTGTTAGGTCGTTTTACCAAATCAGTCAATAATTCTATAATTAACAAGTTTCAGACCACAATAATTTATTTAACCTAGTTTAAACAAGAGCAACAAATAAAATATATTGGATAAATTTCTTCAAAAAAAGTCTTAAATAATTAAATCTATTCAAACACTGTATTATTAACAGACAATATTGTCTTCTATTTCAGAAATATTAAATTTTCAAAAGAGCATAAAATTCAAATTATTTCATTTATTGTGCCTGAACCTTTACAAAAGTCTATTATTTATTTCAAGTTCATTCTAAGCCTTACACTTTAGCAGATAATATTGTCCTAAATTCAACCTGTACTTTCATAATTTTAATTATATTATTTTAACAACCACTTTCACCTACATTCTGTTTTGTATTTAAAAAAGCCAAAAATTTCAAATAGTGTCATTCTTTTTCCTTTGTTATCTATTCAAATCTGAACCTTATTCCTTGGCTATCATGCTCTAATTCAGAGATTTTAAGTTATTGAAAAGCGGAGACATTTCAAATGGTGTCATGATGTCAAAATAAAACAATCACATGACTTGAGAAGAACAAAATATTTGGTAAAGAATGTCACGATTGGTTGAAGACCAAATATCACGCTATATAAGTCTGTCTCTTCTGACAGCGCCAAATTCCATGAGAAATTGACATCACCACGGAAACACTTTTATCTTTTATTATACTCTTGAGACAAGCTTGATTCTCATCTCGGTAATGGCCGTCCACGATGTCATTATTGACAAGCTTCAAACACTAAAGATAAGAAATTAGATTTCATTACTGTAATGAAATTTTACGTTGAAAATTGGATTTTAAATTAGTCCATTGCTATGTTTTATGACAGAATTAAAAAAAATTTGCACGATTTTTTAAAAAAATGTCATTCTAAAAATAGTCATTTCAAATTTAGATTAGTTTTCAAATAAGTTGTCATTTTATATAAAAAAAAACAAATTTTCGTATATTGGCTAATTTTTCATTTCGTTCATTTATAAGATATTTTCACGGCAGATCTCCATCAGTGATTACCGCCCAATTAGAACTTGTCTTCCTTTGACCCAAAATTTAAGGAATAATTTTTAAATTGAAATATGAAATAAAGTGAATATTGAAAATAAAGGTGCAGGATTCGATTGTTGTCATGGTAACACTTTACCTGGATCTTCCACTGCCTCCAGTAACCAGGAGAACACTAGGTGAGCAGAAAAAACAGTTTAAAAACAATTCACAAAATACAAAACATCAGGTCTTTTAAAGGAAATCTGAACTGGCTAATTTGTACGCGAAAACAGCCAATCAGAGTCCTCGATAGAAAATCTGTAAACAATAAGCCATAATATTTTACAGGTTGTCTAACAAGTGCTATGATTGGCTGTATTCACTTGTTTACAATTAAATCAAATCACTGCATTCAGTGATAAAAGAAAGATTTTTGCAGTCAAGGTATAAAACTAAGTCCTTAATAGCTTGACATCAAGATGAAAATAGTTCTACATGGAACTAGTCAACATGGCGAGCGTATATCATGTCTATAAAAAGTGTGATAATCATGATATAAAATCAATTCTGGCGTTTATTTAGTATTTCTACATTAGACTAGAAGCTCTCTCAACCCACTCCGTCTACCAACTGGTTTTAAACCTGGCTAATATCTTTATCATTATCACGAAATATTACAATATATCCCGGAAACTAGAACTTGAATTAGGTAATAAGAAATTTGAATGGAATGGAATTGTGTTAGAACATATGATTCAAACTTGGTTCCAATTATTTCAGAATATCATGAAAAAATAATAATAAACCCCTATTCAAACAATAATTGAATAGAATATATTTTCTATATATAGATATTGATTTAAATATTTTAAAATGATCAGGAAAACTACACACATATACAAAGAGATTACTCAGACAGTAGTGAGTTGGATTGTCAGCGTCCCAATGAGATAACTCAGACAGTAGTGAGCTGGATTGTCAGTGTCCCAAAGAGATAACTCAGTCAGTAGTGAGTTGGATTGTCAGCGTCCCAATGAGATAACTCAGACAGTAGTGAGCTGGATTGTCAGTGTCCCAAAGAGATAACTCAGTCAGTAGTGAGTTGGATTGTCAGCGTCCCAATGAGATAACTCAGACAGTAGTGAGCTGGATTGTCAGTGTCCCAAAGAGATAACTCAGTCAGTAGTGAGTTGGATTGTCAGCGTCCAAAATGATGTTGGTTGATAAAATTTGGAACTGTGTTTAGCTGAAATTTGGTCAAATGGAACAACCTAAAATATAACTGGGTTAGCATGCCTAGTTCTAAACAGTAGCTGGTTGGAAGTTTCATCGTCCAAAAGTACAAAGTATTCTGATGCCACAGTATGTGCTTTCGGCAGTCAGTCTTCTCTCAATTCCAACCGACTTGATTGGTCAATCCATAGAAGAAGTGCTACTAGTTCAAATCCCGCTCAAGATTAAAAATATTCTGATGCCACAGTATGTGCTTATGGCAGTCAATCTGCTCTTATTTTCAAACCACTTGATTGGTCAATACATGGCAGAATTCATAGCAGAAGTGAAAGAGTAAAATGCAGACGTCATACCGGTATATGGAGCTAACCAAGATATTGTATTGATTTTTGACATGAATGATGTACTTACAACTTGGGTCAAATTGTGTCAAATACAGCCCTGATCCAACTTCACAGTCAAGAGCCCATCCTTGATGATTAAGGCTTGAATAATACTGAAGATATTGGCATACAAATTTGGTCTTTGTCATTGGTTTGGGGAGTCACATTCGTCAGATAATAGTACAGATATATTATACTGATTTTAAACTTGAAGGATACTCAACTTTGTGGTCAAAATACATTGCTGGGATTACTTGATTAATACTGACATACTACAAATTTGGTCTTTGTCTTTGGTCTTTCGAGTAATACTAGGGCCAAAATTTATCAAATACGGTCAAATGTGGCAAAGATCCTTGATACAAAGGTTGATATGAATAAACAATGCCTGAAATGGTTGAATACCAGGCAAAGGTTATCAGTTAACATCCGCAAAGATGTTTTATACAAAGGTTGATATGAATAGAAACTGAGTATATGAATTGGTGGAACGCCACGCGAACATTATCGAGTATACCAGCAGGCAAATTTGGTCTGAAAATTGTCAATGAATAAGAAGAGCAAATATGGTGATGAATTGGAAAAATACTTCATTATTGGTTTCTTAGGATTGGTCTGAACATCAGTAACGTTTACTCTACAAACTACCAATTATTGGATTATTAATCACTATATCTTCTGTTATAGCCATCATTGACAACACATACAGCAAACTTAATCATTTTCACGATAATTGAAAACAAATCGAATAACATAGTGGAATCATTTTAAAATGGTAATAACAAATATCCATGAATATGTTTTATAATAACCAAGTTCCAAGTAGGTTTATTACATGTATCTATTCACTTGACTGGGTTTAAATGGTTGACAACGTGACATCACTGACCTTGTATTGATTTTAAGCGGGAACTATCAATGGTGTCTGCTAGTAAAACTACTGATAGAGTAGCGATAAGGAGGTCAATTGTTTGTTATTTGATCAGCTGATCAGATTGTGATGATTAATAACCAAATACAAATTATAACTCAAAATATTGGTAACGTACATGGAATTTCATACAGAATTTTAGTCTCAATCTTTCGATGATGGCAATGGTGATATTTATACTGTTTGAATTATTGCCTTAAGCCTTTGAGGTTTTACATTGAGATGATTCATACAGAATTACAAATTATTACTAAAAATACAACTGCTGGTATACAACAGACCATGCAGAATTATTATATTATCTTGTTATGATCATAATAGTCAGAGATTAGTATTAGTTGTATCTTGTTTCTTGACTATTTGAATTCTAGAATTTTTGATATTTGGTCCTACTATAGGATTAAGATTAGATTAAGCTCAAGCTTTTATTTCCTAATCCCTTTTAACTTTTTGTTGTTATTTTTCTATTTGAACTCTTGAATATTGTTAGAAGTATGTAACTATTCTTTTAACACAAAACTTGTTTAGGCCAGTCAGATTTCCTTTAAAGATTACAATATTATTGTTGTTGTTCACTAATATAAACAGATTCTACATAAAATACATCTAAGAATGAACTTAAAATTTAAGAATTTTAAACATAAGAGCTGATTATATTCATCAGTAGATATACCTGGTGTCATAAATAACATAACAAGATCCTTTTATAATCCGGTAAATCCAAAAAAATTAGTACTTATCCATAATTTATAATATACAATTAACTATTGAAAAATATTAAATAATATTATGATTAAGCGTTTTTCAATAATTACTTGGTTTTATGAATTTTCCAATTTTCTAGATTTTACCATTCTTGAGAACTGAAATTTTATGTTCATTTTAAGATGTGGTATCACTTTAAAGGAATACAGTTGATTAATATTCAGTATTACCAGTTTATACAACTAATCCCAGCTATATACCACTTTTCAGATTTCAAATGTGAATTTTGGTTGGTCTACAATTTAATTAAAATTGTACAATCATGATGTTACCTAATAACTTTTATCAAAAAAGTAAAACATTCCATCGAAATATTAATATTTATTTTTGGATTAATGGAAAAAGTGGGTGGAATTTATTTCTATAACACATGAAGGTAAATATTTAGACAACTGTATTCCTTTTACCAAAATTATATAATACAAATCCCTTTTATAAAATTGAGATATAAAAAAAAAACAATAGCGACAAACAAATGCATTAAAGTTACTTATTGGTATATGGTTATCAACTGTGACAATGGGGTGTATGATCCTCCAACTCTTGCTGTCAGA